GACAAATGAAAGAGAGTCCCACGTGGATTGCTACACTTTGATTGGTAGTGTCTTGGTGTGGGTCTCTCTATGCCCTTTTGTCTTAATTATAAGGAAAAAGAGAGATAGATGGAGACGTATATAAATTCATATTTCTCTGATAGAGAAATTCTTTTTATTATCATTTTTTATTTGACTTAATTTTTTTATATTTATGGAGGCTCTATTTGATAATTTTTCTAAAGACGTGAATCTCTACGCAAGGTTGAATCAACATAAACCATAAATGCATAACTATAGAGAAGAAAATGACGAGCAATGATTTTATATTTATTTAATTAAAATACAAATTAATATCTTTCATTGTTTAATATAAATATGAGAAAAAAAATAAATATGTACAAGATATCTCAAACATCCCTAATTAGAATAATAAGATAATTTTGCAGTAGTAATATACGTGTGTGTCATAGGACTCTCTAGAATTCTCTTTCCAATCTGAAGAAAATAAAATGTATGGACCTTAAAAGTATTTTATTATTTCTCTTTTCATTTAATGTAAGCAACCAAAATATCTTGGTAACTATATTTTCTCTTCTAAATGATCGCATAGTTGTCTAATTAATGAAAACGTGTTCTTGTATATTTTGAAAGTGTTCTATTAATCAATTTAAAATGGAACGTGTGAGACTTTATATTTGTACATGTTATCAAATTAAAGTGAACCAATTACAAAATTAATAAAAGTATCACTATGAATAATTATATATATAAAAATCAAAAAGTCAATTCCTTATTTTCCGCATCCTTAGGTCATGGTGAATATCAAACGGAAGATATATTGAATCTGGTTATGACTAGCGAGTTAAAGCCTTTTAAATATAAGACCCACATCGGGTGGCCAACTAAATTAACACCTAACGAACTTAACAAAAATGATTTTCAATAGCTTTTAACTTAAATTAATAGTTATTAATTTGATCTTATAACTAAATTGATCCGTGAAGTGAGTATTAACTGCTAATACTCTCTCCTCAAGTTGAGAGATGAATATTATGATACTCAACTTGCTCATGAAGAGCAGGAGTTAGAAAAGCAGACAATGTGTTTATGAACATATTTGCTGGTTACATTAATATATGAAAAACTTACCATAATTATATAATATTGTGAGTCAAAAATGGAATACTACAATATTCTCAAAGTATATAAGATTTTGTCGAAAACTACAGCAACAAGAGAAAATTAGAGTACCCTATTTAATCATTCTAATACTTACATGAATTACTTGTCAATTTGGATAAAATTATTGAGGTTGTGAGAAAAGTGTCTGTCTATCACCTGGAAGATGAAATGAGAGTTTGCAAGGATTAACACAAAGATGTCCCATGAAAGTTGGCAACTGACCAAATTTCCTTTCCTTCTCACAAATTATCTAAAAGATTGAAAAGACTATGATAGAACATACATACATAAATAAATAAAAATTAACATAAAGAATTTACAAAGCTAAGAAAGGAAGAGAGCATTATTATAAGCATCAAAACATGTATAATTTATTTTAAAAATATATAAATGAATAAAAATAAGTAAAAGAGAAAAAGATAAGACGAGCTTTTGTGGATTTTTCCAACTCGAAGAATGAAGTGGTACATGAAAACTCATAGAAGTTAAAAAGAAGTTAAATGTGATTAATTAGATTATTATTGGATTGTTTCATGCAAGTGTCTCTTTCTTACAATTGAGTGTTAATAGCAGTAACAGAACGTTCTTCGGAACAAAGTATATTCCGAGGTTGTAATTTTGTATGATTGAAGCTAACATCTAGAATTGTTCACAGTGGATGATATATAATCAATTTGAGTATATTTGGAAAAAGAAAACAGGAAAAGAAAATAAGTACTGAATGTGGGGATATATAAGCCATTGTCGATGTCGGTGGTCCTCACTATATTTATGACACGTTCTTCCATCTAACCATGCCATTCACTGTCTTTTGTGTATGAAAAGTTTGGTGCAAATGGCATAAGTATTTCACAAACGAGGGGCCTCTCCTTTGCATCTCATCTCTTTTTTCTTTCTTTTTTCTATTGTTCAAATCTTTTTTTATTAGTTGATGGTGAAAAGATCTTTCTATTAATAACGTATGAAAATTAAGCTCTAAATAATTGTATTTAGCGAGATTTTAATTGAAGTTAAGCTTTTTTTTTATCTTATTTAAGAGGCTCACAATTTTATTTTATCAAATTAAACCTATTTAATAAATAATCAACTTGTAGTGTTTTATTAAGTTTTTAAAATACCTTTTGATCATGTCCTTTTATCTCTACTATTTTATCATAATTTTTTTATATACATTTTAAAATATTTTTATTACTAATTTTGAACTTTTCCTACGAGTGACACGGGAATTCTTCGATCTGAAACATGAACAAGAACAACACATTAATTGGAGCCATTTCAACATCACACTGCAGCTAAGTTTGTAGTACACAGAAGACCCTTACACAAATGCTAATTGCCGAATGGGGACAATTATTGCAAAATATTCCAAAACATCAAATCCTCAAATCATATTAGTCCCCGAAGTACATGGACAAGCTGAGGATTAAATTAGGAAGAATTAAATAATTTTTAAGATGAACCACGTAACAATATTTTTCATTTTAAACATTAATTATTCTTATTATTTATTAAACCACGACAGTATCTATTTTAGTCTAAAATTGTTAATTATACTTTCAGATTATTACATTACTATTACTGTCTATCTCGATGCACAACACTATAGGATTTTAATTATTTTCTACAAAAGGAAAAAAAAAGATAGTTTAAGGAATTATATTGTTTTCAAAATTTTGATATTTGCATGTAAATGAGATAATTTTCAATATAAATGTTTTGATTTCTTCTATATTTGACGTTAAAATTCAACTAAGTTATTTAACTATGACAAAAAAAAATTCTTCTTTTGTTATTTTTTATCAATTATTTTTTAAGAAAAATTTTATTTTTGTTGATCTACCCACTTTTAAAAGTTTAAGACAAAATCAATTATTTTTATTGTATACCCTTTATTTAAAATAAAAAGTTTAGTTTATAAACGAGATCAATAAGTACAATTAAAAAATGTTAATGATAATGTAACAAAACTAAGGACATAAAATATATTCTTTAGTTACTATATAGAACCTTACGGAAGGAGTAATTATTGAAGAAGTTTATTCAAGTCCTTGATGACTCATTCTCAAAGTAAGTTTATACTTAATAAATAGATAAAATCAATTCTTATAACCGCTTGATGCTATTATAAGAAAAGTTTAATCTCAATTGACCGATAACTATTTACGAGACCTTTTTTGAGTCTGGCACTTTAATAACTAAAAACAAAATTGACAAGTTCTAACAACAAAATAAGTTCTCATAAAGCCAAAAAAAGCATGAGTTAAAACAGTTGAGTGTAACAATGAACACTAAAACTGAAATTATGGAGACTTGACTACACATATGATGAAGATTATTGTAGTACCTACCTTTGAATTTTCTTTGGAATGAACATACAGAACATAAATGGAAAACCATGAAGAGGACAAACGCATGAGTTAAGTATTTGCTGCTTACACCAATTAAGCAACACAAACTATAATGTGGTACGAACCTTATCTCTTTTGTCACACTGCTAAATTTTTTTGCTGCTTTATCAGTCTGAGCCGAACACAATTTGTCTCTGAAAAAACGTTTGTCTCTTTCTTCTGGGTTGTCTGAATTGCATAATTTTTGTCTGACACACCCTTCAAAATTGTGTCTTTTTTTTAATATATTTTCCCTTTTATAACAATAGAACTGTGTTTTTGTTTGTTTTCAAAGAATATACAGCACACAGGGAACAACACTCTGATTGCACTGATTCTTCCTTATCTCCTCCTACCCACTCCGATCCAAAATTTTCTTGGCACTGAACAAGAACAAGTCCATGATCTTTGACTAGTCCAGTGATTTTAGCAGTGTTGAATGGCCTGAAAACTGTTGGGTTGGTCCTTTGTTGGTTCACAGTGGGGGCACTATGATCATATATATATATATGATAAAGGGATATAAAATATGATCATAGAATTAGTGTTATGTGGTGCCACTGCCAGCAAATAGTGTGACTAGCACACAAAGTTTATTTGTTTGGTTTTGGAATTGCTGAAGATGGCATATGTTTGAACCTTGAACAGAAGCTCCACCCTGTTCATTTAATACCCACGCATGGTTTTTAGTTCCTTGATTTAGTGACAGAATCTGACACAAACAACTATTTGTTAAAATAGACTCTCAGAAAGAGAATTTGGACTCATTACTTGCCATCACGAGGACTGAGAGGGGCTTATCAACGTTTTTAACGCTAGATTTATCCCCCTCCTTTTCCCCCCTTCCACTAATTTCAAAATTATGGACAAAATTCTTAGCAGACAAGTCTTAATCAAATTGCAAAATTTGTTTCAAGAATAGCCCTGCTCACTCACTCAAACAGGATACCCTTTTGCTTTATTTTTATATATTTAATATAATATATAATTAATTAATTTCACCATGATTCGTTAGTTGGACATAAATAGTGGAATTGGGGAGGGAGAAAAAGTTGGCGTGCTTTTTCCTGAAAACTATAGAAAAAGAAAGGAGTTCAGAAGTGATGGCTTTCTTTCTTTCTTTCTTTGCCGTTATACGAAATAAGCCTCATGACACTTAAGTGAACATGCATAATTGCTGGCTGCAATTAAGAAACCAATTCCAACCGAACCTTATGATGGTTGTAGTCTATATAAGAAAGTTTTGAAAAATAAATAAAAAAGGGTAATTTAATTTACTGGATAAAAAGAAAGACAACAGCTTTCTTTCTTTCAAACAGGAATTGCTTTTTACAGTGGCTAGGTTCAGTTCACTATGCAAGTTAAAAACAAACTAAAATTAAAAGGGTCTTTTCTTTTTAAACATAGAATTAACCTAAAAAAAAGAGTGATTAAATTAAAATCCCCCCTAGCATGTCCACAAAAAACAGTTCACGTGAACCGCCATGAAAAGCTACCAACCACATAATAATGTCCAACTTTAGATTCTTCATTTCATTCATCATCAATTCTGGTTGATCCACTGCTTGTGGCCTGGAACCCATTTTGGACATTTTGGACTAAAATAGCTTGACATTACCCTTGAGTTCAAGAGCTCAACAACAGGTGCAAACTTCACACACCTTGGTGTCTTGTATTGGTTTATTGAAGCCCCTAGACTAATGGCATAGTCCATGAGCTTGTCAAAGGTGCCCTGTTCCACAATCTTGATCTCAAGTGGCCCAATTGATTTGTCTGAGACACGCCCTTGGCGATACACGCTGTTCAGTGACTCCTCTATGGCTAAACAACAATCCTCAAACACACAGGGTGGAATTGGTGTTGAACCATTCAGGGTGAGTTCCCAATACAGCACATAGTGACCTGGGATTGTTGTGGTGTCTGCATAGCTTGTGTACTCAGCCACTGCTGCATCAAATGGCACCAAGTGTGTCACAGCATTCTTCATTGCGTTCTGCAGCTCCACTTCATCCGTTTTATCTGAATCTATGCTCAACACCACGTTTTTTCTGCACACAAAGTTGAATTGTGGTGCCTTGTTCTTGAATCCAGCCACCCTTAACACATCACCAACCCTGTAACGATACAAACCTGACCCAAAAAAAAAAATAATCAGTTAGCAATTTATCATACCCATGTTTTAGTTTTGTGTCAAGTTCAGATAAAAGTGACACAATTAGTAATGATATCATTAAAAATTTAATTTTTGATCAAGTCAAATGTTGTCGTGTGATTCATGTAACTTACTTTACTTGTTATTGTTGTAAGATAAAAGTAACATTAGCAAATAGAAAGAAATTTGGTCTTACCAGCATAAGTTGTGACTACAAGTTCATATTCTTGGCCAAGCTTGACATCAACAAGCTCAACAAGCTCTTGTTGTTCCTTCTCATTGAGGGATCTAGAGGTATGGAGGGAGTCAGAAACCCCATTGCTTCTGTTGACAGGCAAGAACTCGAAGTAGCACATGGTGGGAATGAGGGTGTAAGAGACCTCGCTGGGTTTGCAAAGAGGGTTGAGGTTGACACCAAAGTAGCATTCACTTGAGGCATACATGGTGCAGACAAGTGGGAGTCCATTGGTGTAGTAATCCAATGTGGGTATGTACTGTGACATTGTGCCAGTCACAATAACGTCCACATACTTGGTATTGGGCCACACCCTAGTGATTATGCCCTGCCATGAACTCTTGCTACACTCAGTTTGGATAAAATCAGCTAGCTTTGGGTCAGGTTTGAGGATCTTCATGACAGCCTCACGCACTGAGGTGTCAGTGATTTGGGGATTGATGGTTCCTGTCCTAATATCATGGCAAAGAAGGGGCCAGTGTTTCTCAAGGAACCTAATGGCCCTTATGAAGCCAGAGGCAAAAACTGCCCCTACACGGAGAACCTCTTTGTTTTGGCAAAGACCACAAAGCAATTGAGAATACATGCTTTGGTAGGAATCAGGACAGAGGACAGTTTCATTTGGGCTAGTATAGTTGGTGTAGGGGTCATAGGGTCTGTCTTTAAAATAGGAACTTTTGTAATAGCTGGTGAGAACTGGACGAGCCACAATACCACCAGGTGTTTTAGCCTCAGATTTTATGAACATTAGGTACATTCCTTTGCCTTTTTCTAAGCCTGGAACAGACAGGCTCATCACCGGCATCAAAAGACTATACAGCAAACTTCTTCTAGGGAGTTCCTCTTCAGTTGTTGGCATCAGCTTTCTCTCACCACCAGATGTCCCAGAACTACAAAAAGTTGAAGCAAAAACAAACCCATCAATGTTTTGCCAAGAAAGAAGCAAAAGAGAGGAAGAAAAGCGAGACCCAGATGAAAAAAAATGATCTTTTTATGAGGACTTTTGGGTTTATCCATACCTAGTGAGGAACTCTGAAATGGGTTTGGAGCAAAGGATTGGAGAAGTGTCACCATTGGCGATGCGGTTGATGTCGGGTTGGATATCCTCGTAGGTTATGACAGGCAAGAGTTTCTTGAAGGTTTCACGGTCAGTTTGGCCGTTGAGACCGTGTCTCTTTAGGTACTCAACGTTTGCATTGTTTGAGAGGATTTCGGAGAGAACCTTCTTCTGAACTTGGTCAGCGTTTGCAGTGACATCCTCAATGTACTCGAGAGTTTTCTTGTTCTGTTCGAAAAGGTTGTACCCTCTTGGAGCCTCAGGCATGGTGATGACTCGTGAGGTGATAGTTAAAGTTAACAAGAACAACAACAACAACCAACTTGTGATGTGAAAACAGAAGCGAATTATGTGTGTGTGTTTTGGGAAGGAAAACACACAGGAGTTTGGTGTGTAAGAGAGAGAGAATAGACAATGACTCTAATGGAAACTCGTTAGGAAGGAAGAGAGAATAAGAGATGGTGTTGGGCATGAGTTGAAAAGATGAGAGAAAGTGGTATATATAGAGGCACATGTCAAGCTGGGTTTGCTTGAGACTAGGGATGAGGGAGTAAATAAACTTCAAAATAAAGGGTGAAATGGGGAATATATAAGTAGCCGTTTTGTGTCACTTTTTGGTTTTTTATTTTTTTCTATATCTAAGCATTTACATCATGCCAAAGCATACAACTTTCATGCATTTATGGGCATGTTAAGTAAGCTTCTCGGGCCAAAATGACAAGGAGGACTATGATTTGGCCTCTTGTGAAGGGGAAAAAAAAGCTTTTGAAGAAAAAAAATAAAGGGAAAAAGAAACAAGATTTGAGAAGGCATAAACACAATTTCAATTGGAAATGACTTGGCATATTATTTGAACATGAGTGAATACCATCACCGCTTTTTAAAGATAGATAGATTGAATGGAATCCATGTGCAACATAAAAGGAATGCATATGGAGTCACTTTGAAATGCTTTGCGGTTGTTATAAAAGTGCTTAATTAGTAGTAGATTGGTAGTCCATATCTTAAAGAGGGGCATAAGATCAAATAAAATGGAATAAAGACAAACCTATATCCCATTATCCTTTTGTCTCGTATTGGATTGGCCAACCCAAATTCATTTGTTTCACGAAAATCCCATGAACCGACGTGTCAAATTATCAAAACTTTTTTTTCCTCACGAAAAAAATAATAATTATGCCCACGTATTTTAGATTTAAATTTCTTTTAACCCCTTTTTAAATACCCTTTTGTGTGCGTTTGGGGAGTGCTGCAAAATGCAAAGCTCGCGCTTGTCGTACAAGGAAAACGGCGAAACGATTTGGAACCCACCTTGTCAAGAGGCAACCAGATTAAAAATGTTTTTAATAACTAATTAAATAATTAACCGGCAAAATCCGGTAAACACGGTGTTTAAGTAAACCCATGACCTGCGAGCTTGGACTGCGGGGTAGGATGGATGTCCCGCAAAATACCGGCAGCCACTTACTTAATTGGCTAGTTACTTGCAATTACCGGTAAGAAAAAATAACGGCGTTCCTCGATTTGCCCGCGATATTCCCTGGTCAAAGTTCCGCGAGTACTTTAGTGAGACGGGAAGGGATATTGTGTGAGTGGTGTACGGTAAACAAAAGAATTTCACTTTTTTAAAGTAAGAACACTTATCAGATAAAAAATTTATTTATTATTAACTTAAACTTAACTATTTATAAAAATTATTAATTTTAATTAATATTTAATAAAAACATTATTTGAATATTTTTTAATATATATTTTGTGCATGATACATCTGTTTATTTTTAAAGAAACTAAAAGTTATATGAAACTGGTCAGGTGGGGTTTCTTGTTGAAGGGTGCAAAAGCAACCTGCCAGCTGGATGTCAAACTTATTAGGTTGACACGTGTAAGATTTTTTTCATCTGACCAAGTGCCCCTTCTTTTCTGTCTAGTCATCGAATATACTAAAAAAATATTAATTAAAAAAATTAAAGTATTTTATTAAGAATTAGAATTAATATTATATTTTTATGTATAACATTTTTTTCAACTTTTTTCCTTTTCATTAAAGTGTTCCTCACCTATGAAACACGATTAATCTCCACTTAAAACGTTCAGTTGTGTGGTCTCTTCAAAGGTATCTTTAATGAATTTTCGATCCTCCTATCATATATCTTCTCCATGGATTTTAAATTGTTAATTAAATATCACTAATGATTACAATTGTGAGCATCAAACGAGCTTAAATTTCAATTTCAAATTTTTTCAATGTTGTTATAAAAATTTTATCATCAGTTTTATTAATAGTAATCCTTAATAAGAATGATACTCACGTCTCAACTTTCTTTCATCTCCAATTCGTGTCTCAGTGAATTTTCCAATCAGAGAAGGCTACATAACTAAAGTTTTGTGGGTCTATTTCTTTAAACTTAAGAAATTATAAACTTAAATCAATAAAAGTAAACATAAAAATATAAAATTATTAGTTTCAAGACTAAATTCAAAGGTGAAAGAAAAGAGATAATAGAAATATATAAGTAAAGTCTAGTTATTAATTGTTATTTTAAATATAATATATTATTTTTAAAATTACTAAAATACACACAAAAAATTAAATTTATTTTAAAATTTGTTCAACAACGAGAATCTTGCAAAGTAAGGAGTATGAACCCTCTATCCATTTGTAAATCCTCCTCCAAAGCTTTTCAATCTCATTTTCAGCCTCAGAAAAATTTCCAAACTTCAAGGTCTCAAAGGGACTTGTGTAAATTTTTAAATTCGAAGTGAAGTTATCATCTCTAGTCCTTGGCATTTCCTTCTATTATTTTATTCTTCTAAATTTTTTATTAGTAAATAAAGCATAAATTACAATATCTTTTTCAAAAAAAATTTAAAATTTCACCTTTTTTGAAATTTTTATAAATTACACTTTTCTCTTAAGAGCTGAAACATAAACACTTTAATCCATGTTAATATATGTACCTTTTAAAAGTGGCGAATAATTATATAAATGATACTATTAAAGATATTTCCCTTTTTCCTAACAACTTTTAATGTCACTTTTGGCTAGTTTTGATCACTTTTGAACATTATACTTTACAAGATACTATCATGATATTATAAACTATACTAATTAGCATTTATCTTAATATTTTAGAAGATCAAATGATATTTGAATACTTTTGTTTGTCAGAAAATATTCATTAATTCATATGTTGAACTTCTAAAATTGATAATTAGCATCAATTCATAATGTTAAAAGTCACAAAGAAAGAAAAACTATAAAAGACCCATTTACATAACAATGAATTAAAATATAATACATATTATATTTAAAATCAATCAAAATAAGTTTGGTCTATTTTATCAAATTTAATTAAAACACAAATTGCATATCATTTGAGATTCATGTTATAAAATAATAATCAATTGAGGTGGAAAAAATTAAATAAGAAATCTTTCCTAGGGAGGGCAGGAAAAGTGAAAGAGGGTATATGTAAATGAAATGTGTGTCTGTGTTGAAAACAAAAAATGCTATTTCTTATACAAATTAACTATGTATTTATAGTATATTTATAAGCATTAGATATTAAGTTTTATTGACGGATATGTTGAGACATTTGTTGAAGTTCTATTTATTATCATATATATCAACTATATATGAAGTTCTATTACAAGAAGATTATTATTATTTTTAGATATTAGAAAAATAGATAATTTCCTGCTGTTGACTAACAATCTCTACCCAAGAAAATCTAAAATTGAAACTGATGAACTGTAATATCAACAACCGTGCCACATAATTGTGTTTAACACGCTTATGCAAGTGTGTAGTAGATATAAAAGGAAAATAAACGTGTGATTTAGCTCGTGTCATAAATTTATTTAGGGGATAAAGTACACTCGTAATTATTAATTAACAGTGGAGATTTAACAATTCTATTTTATTTTGTAAAATACTCCCATCACTTTATAATAGTACAATATGCAGTTTAACATATATAATGCACACTGCATGAGTTGAGAAATTTAATTTGAGAAACGCTAGTTGTACATTAATTTGGTAGAATATTTTATATATAAAAGAGAGAGATAAGAATAATAAAGAATATAAAAAAAATTATAATATAAATAACATAACACATAAATGAGAGCTGTAAATTAATTGGCATACGTATAGTTAAACCTAACCGTGACAAGGGCAGAAAAAATGGACCATTGACTGAAACCAAAAAAAGGTAGCAGTGATTGTCGTATATGATGCTACTACGTACTCTGAGTATCCTAAACAAGGTCATTGTTTGTAGTTGAATGATAGAAATAGGAGTAGAAAAAGTTAAAGGAAAGTGACTGTGAAGACAAATTTGGCACAAGCAAAAAATGATATAAAATATCTGAATAAGTGAAAGGTTTGGGTTCTTGATTGAAAGGTGGTTACAAGGTGGAGATCTTTTTTTTGGTTTTTGCTTTGAATTTAGAATTTGTTTACGTGAAATGGTATGACTTAATTATGTGGAAAGTGCCGACCATTAGGTATTCAAAACAAAGTCAAAAGTATTATTCATACGAAAAGTCATAGAAACGATACTTGAATTATGAGTATGTATGTGTATGTTTGCTGTTTTACTTTAAGAAGCAACACGTACGTAGTTGGCAAGCCACTAAAACATTTCTTCCTAAAAAAGAGATCATCCTAAATACAAAAACCGCCCAATTTCTTGTGCTGGTCAATAATTTTTGCCAATTCATGCAAACCCTCAATGCTCCCACAAAAAGCAAAAGCATCAAAAACCAATCTTCAAACACCTCATAATTAAGCAATTCCACCAATGATATTGACAAAGATCCTTTATTCAAGTTGATCATCAAACCTATTGGCTGAATTCCTTCTCTAAGTTCATTATGCATCATTTACTAAATAATAAATATTTTCATTGCTTTTCAAGTTTCAAATACAGACCATATGTGTCATTGAAGCATTGCTCTATGAAAAGCAAACTTAACGCAAAATATATGTATTCTTATAATATAAATACGACTTCTTGTTCACCGTGAAAATATTTTTAAAAGTTGCTATTATTTTTATTAAGTCACAAGATTTCTTATATTAAATAATTTTGTGTTTATATTTTTTATTTCTTTTAAATACTATTTTTCAATTTCAATTTAATATAAATTATAACCAGTATTAATTTTAAAAAATTATTAATTTTTGCTATACCATATGATGTGTCTTAATTTTCGTTTTTTATCTCTTTAATATATTGCTACTCTTTTATTCTAATAAAACATTTATTATTTTATACCAGATAGGAGTTGTCATTCAGTGCACCAACCATAGACGAATTTCTAATACGTACAATGTTTTATTTTGAATCTTTTTCGAGGAAAAAACTCGTGCCATTTTTACGATACATCACGGATGACATTTATTAGCATTAAAGTTTTAGTTAATATTTAATGTACTCAAATTTTTCT